AAGGGAGGGAGGGGGGAGGAAGGGAAGGAGGGGAGGAAGGGAAGGAGGGGAGGAAGGGAAGGGAAGGAGCGGGGAGGGAGAGATGAAAATAAAACCAATCTTTAAGATAACTGCAGCCCCAATCACGATTCCCCCGTAACATCGCCATGATGAGCTAGCTATCTAATGCTCAGCTCAGAACCTTTGCCATAATTAAGAACTGAGTGGTTGGATACTTGGGGACAAAAATAAAATCAGTTCCAGTAAAAAACTGCAGGCTGGGGCCAGGCTGAAATACTAACAAAGGGAGGTGGGATGTCGGGGAAACAGATAACCGAGCGGGCTCTGCTGTGGGGGTCGGTACTGATTAGCTCTGCGCAGGTTTCCGGGGTTCATATCCACTCAGCTCCTCCCTCCCCACCCAAATAACAAGGGGCCAGAGCAGACATAAAGACAAGGGTTGGAGCTGACATCTTGCCTAATTTAAACTCTGCTCACAGAGAGAGAGAGGCCCGAGAACAGAAGGAGGGCGGACATCAAGTAAGTAAATGTCAGCCCTTACCGCTGGTCAGAAGCCATCAGCCGGGCAGAGGCTCCAATCAGAAACCGTTCAATTAGCACAGTAAAAGAGGAACAGAGTGGGACCGGGCACAGCGGGGGAGGGATGGAGCAAGGGAGGTGTAAGGCAGAGATCAATAGAGGATTACCACCGTGAGATGTGCGGATGACTGGGGCCAGCAAATGCCTTCCACATAACAGGGCACCCGAGCCAGACACCCTCCATAAAATGTCCACACGGTTCCTTGGCTCTCTCAGATCCCGTCCCAGGGGGCCAGGCCATCTTGTGGACTATTTTGGAAGAGATTTCTCCCTTTTGCTTAAACCCATAGACAAATGGGCAGCTTTCAGGCACTTGGGAGCTGGGGGGTTGGGAATTAATTGGAACACACGGAGAAGGGAGTGACCCTCTGCAGGCAGTGCTGGGAGGTTGCAGGCTGTTTTCTGTGTAAAGCTACTCGAACTGATAGGGAAATACATCCGATTGTGAGGTAGGGTCACACAGGCATGTTTCCCTTCGAAGCTAATTATTATTTAACTAGCTAATAAGTATTTAATTTTGCAAACAGTACTTGCCAAGGCCAAGACTCTCTTTGACTTTTTCATTTGAATAAACTCATTTGCTTGTCCAAGGAGAGATTAAGGTTCCTTCCCTTTCTCCCAAATTGGAAGATTTAAGATCAAGACTCTGAAAAGCCGAATCACTTGCCTGAGATTGCCATATGCTCCTAACACCAGGGGTGGGGGATAACATACTGAAAAAGAAAACAAAAGTCCCCCTATTTCCGGACAGTTGGGACCCAGGGGCCCACAAGGTGGAGGGCATCCATCTTCAGAGAGTGGATGCCACTCAAGACATTCGGGGTCCACCTTTGTAAACAGGTGTGCAGTGAGGATTGCCAGTTAAATTCTAGAAAACCCAGTGAAGTGGGAATAGCTAGGGTCGACTGAAAAATTATTTATAGACTGAAATTCAGATTTAAGTGGGTGCTCTTTATTTTTATTACTAACTTGTTGATTTTGTATCAAAAAGAAATAACTGCCCTAACCCGTCAAGTCCCAGCACTGTTCAAAGGCCTTGCCCCTGACATCTCTAATGTCTGCAGGCGTCTCTGTGAAATGAGCAAATCTGCTTCACAGACGGACGGTTGGGAGCTAGGGGGTGGAGGGTTCAAGTCACTGTGATGCGGAGTCAAACAGAGAATAAGAGGCAGAGTGAGATCTACCCTAGGTCTGATCAGCTCCCAAATGCAGACTGAAAAGTCGGGTGAAGGAGACTGGGAGGGCTCAAGAGAGCCCTTGCTTGGATGGCAGGTTGAGACAGACCCAGGTCTCAAGCCAAAGAGATGGCTCAGTGGTACAGGGTTTCCTGTTCTTCCAAAGGACCCAGTCCAGTTCCCAGAATCTATGTTCTGTGGCTCACAACTACAGGTAATAATAATTAAAAAAACAAGCAAACAAACAACAAAAATATAGGTTTCTTGAGTGATCTTGAAGTCTTTGAAGGTTCTTGAACAGGCAAATGGAAGGGCTAGAGCAGTATTTGGAGGATTAGCATGACCACAGACTGCACAATGTCAAGGAATCTGGCAATGAGGACACTACCTGGTTTTTCCTTCTATGATGATGGAGGCCACCCAAATTCAGAAGCCAGACCCTCTGCTTCGTTTTTATTCTGCGAGAGTTGAGTGTTTTGCCTACTTGAATGTTTGTCCCCACATGCATGCAGTGCCCCTTGAAGGCCAGAAGAGGATGTCAGATCCCCTGGAACTGGAGTTCCAGATGGTTATGGACTGTTACATGAGTGCTGGAAATTGAACCCGGGTCCTCTGGAAGAGCAGTCTGTGCTCTTAACCACTGAGCCATCTTCCCAGTCCCATGATCCAACTCTTAATTACAAGGAGGGTTGGAGCAGGAGAAACACAGACCATTAAAATCCAGATAGATCCCAAATTTGGTTACTCATGCATTGCATGTTTGTGATGGCTAATCTTATGTCAACTTGACATATAAACTAGAGTTACCTGAAAAGAGGGAACCTCAACTGAGAAAATGCTTCCATAAGATCCTACTGTAAGGCATTTTCTTAATTAGTGATTGGTGAGGGAGGGCCCAGCCCATTGTGGGTGACACTGTCCCTGGACTGGTAGCCCTGGGTTCTATAAGAAAGCAGGTTGAGAGCCGGGTAGTGGTGACACATGCCTTTAATCCCAGCACTCGGGAGGCAGAGCCAGGCAGATCTCTGTGAGTTCAAGGCTAACCTGGTCTACAGAGTGAGATCTAGGACAGGCACCAAAACTACATGGAGAAAGCCTGTCTCAAAAAACCAAAACCAAAAAGAAGAAGAAGAAGAAGAAGAAGAAGAAGAAGAAGAAGAAGAAGAAGAAGAAGAAGAAGAAGAAGAAGAAGAAGAAGAAGAAGAAGAAAGCTGAGCAAGCCATAAGGAGCAAGCCAGTAAGCAGCATCCCTCTATGGCCTTTGCATCAGCTCCTGCCCCCAAGATCCTGATCTGTTTGAGTTCCTGCCCTGACTTCCTTCAGTGATAAACAGTGCTGTGGAAGTGTAAGCAGAATCAACTCTTTCCCCCCCTAACTTGCCTTTTGGTCATGGTGTTTCATCACAGCAATAACTAAGACAATGTTCTTCTCTCATCCCACAGGTTGTGGATACATCTATATGTTTATCTAGTCATACAAAACAGCAAAGCATCATGGTTAAGAGAAAAAGCTTCACAGATTTCAAGGCAAGTGCTAAAAACATAAAACCCTTAGGGGGGAACAGGCTCACATCTTCCTGACTTTGGGTTAGGCGATGGTTCCTTAGTTATGAACTCGGCGCACAAGCAAAAAGAGAGAAATTAAATATGCTGCTGAATGTGTCAGCCTAAATAATAACTAGAGAGGGATTCATAAAAGGCAATGATATTTATTTGCAAATGACAAAGAATTGCAGTGGGATGTACGGCCATGGTAAACTACGGGCATGATCTAAGACTGTGAGGCAAGAAGCGTTTAGAGCCAAAGATGAAAATGGTGCCTGGACAGGAAGTGAACTGCCCGGGAATCCAGAGGCAGAAGTTGGCTCAGCTCCTCCGGGATGTGGGGCTGTTCCCCTCCCTGCTCTGTCTAGAGCATGCTGTGGGAATTATTGCACTTCTGGAGAACATTAAAGACGGGCTTCGTTTCAGAAATCTGTGCATACATGTAAGCACGGAGCATGTGAGTACAAAGAAATATTTTCTGAGTTGCGTAACTTCCATGCTCTGATTTTGCTGGGCTATCACAAGAATGATTTCATCTTTGAATAATCAACTTTCACACGTCTCACGGCTTTACTTCATTTTATTGCCTGATAATGTTTCAGTCTATGGATATTCCCATTTCATTTATCCACTCATCAGTTGATAGACGGGATCTCTCTTTGGATGACAATTCTGCCCTCTGAAAATGAAGAATTGTACACTTTAAGTGGTCAAATCGTATGGCATATGGATCAGCTACCCCATTAAAGTTGTCTTTAAAAGAAAAGGAAGCCAGCTGCAATGTTGTGCAGTCACAGCTGGGCCAGCCTGGGCAACATAGCAAATGATAGCTGGGTTTGGTGGCAGATGCCTTCAGTCCCAGCACTTGGAAGGCAGAAGCAAGCAGATCTCTGTGTGTTTCAAGGCCAACCTGGTCTACATTGTGAGCTCCAAGCTAGCCAGGGCTATACAATGAGGATCTACCTTAACACAAATAAGTAAATAAATAAATAGTTGTTTGTTTTTTTTCAAAGAACAAAGGATTTTAGCATTAGCTAGACAGAGGTTTGTATCCTCTCTTGGTCACAAACCAGTCTTCTGATTCTAATTTCCTTGTATAGAAAATCAAGAGGCCAGCCTGGTCTACAGAGCAAGATCCAGGACAGGCACCAAAACTACACAGAGAAACCCTGTCTCAAAAAACCATTAAAAGAAAAAAGAAAGAAAAGAAAAAAGAAAAAGAAAATCAGCATTATTATAACACCTATTTCACAAAATTGCTGAGAGGAGGAAATGAAATAATTCATGTAAAGTACTTAGCACAACTCCAGGCATATTGCAAGCTCTTTATTGAGGTTGCTTATTCTACTGAGGTTGGACGAGTTCCAGCTTCTGCATGTGATCACAGATCACCCTGACTCCCAGCACCTTCAGCCACACAGGGTAGCTAGGCTCTGAAGTTGTAAGTGTTCCCATGCATAGTGTTCCCAGAAATGCCTGTGCACCTATCAGCTGTACAAACACACACTTCAGTTACAAACCCCAGCCAGGGGACAGCCAGGGTTTAATACTGTGGGAGTTTTGGGGTATGCTCACTATGGGTAGGTATATGTACAAAGATCGTACCTATCTTTCTGGTAAACGTCCACGAAGCTGTTTCAGGTAGGAGTGTGACTCACTTCAGGCTTCGTAATCTGGACCAGAACAGCCAGGAGATGTCAGGATTTCCACAGCTTTCACTTTGTTTATTCTTCTTCTGTTTAAATGTGACCACGGAAGCACAATACTTACATTTACGTAGGCAGGGTCGTCTGAGCAAGCACAGCTCCCTGTGAGCCTGTGGGAGGACCTGCAGCCTGGTCAGACTGGACATAACTGTAGAAAGCTAACCGCAGAAGAGGAAATCACAAGTAACAGCATTCGGCTTCCGTTCCTTCTGGTGGTCCCCATCTTTCATTTTTTTAAGATGGGGCCATACTGTGTAGCTCAGGCTAGCCTCAACTTGTGACTCAGTTGCCCCAGCTGTCCCAGTGCTGGGATGACAGGTACATCCACACCTCGCCCTCTGAATCTTTTTACCAGTTTAAATGAGGGAAGATAAATAGGCAAAGGAGTCTGAATCTCGGGGCGGGGGGGGGTGCCTCAGTGTTGAGAATAAATGCAGGGGACCTTTAGTCCCAGTGCTTGGGAGGCAGAGGCAGGCGGATCTCTGAGCTCAAGGCCAGCCTGGTCTACACAGTGAGTTGAGTTCAGGACAGCTAGAGCTACATAGTGAGACCCTGTCTCATAAAATAATAATAACAACAACAACAACAACAATAATATGGCTGGAGAGGTGGAGAGCGGTTAAGAGCACTAGCTGCTTTTCCAGAGGACCTGGGTTCAATTCCCTGAACCCATATGGTGGGTCACAACCATCTCTAACTCCAGTCCCAGGGAATCCTTCATGCTCTCTTCTGGCCTCTGTAGGCACTGTATGAGTGTAGTATACAGACATGCTTCAGACAAACAACTATACACATAACAAAAAAAAAAAATACATAAAGTCTTTTTAAAAATTAAAGAGTAATTATTTATTATTAATGTCAGCATTTGAATATCTACTATAGACATATCTATGCACAAAACCCAGGGCAGGGAGATACTTTAATCCCCATTGTATAGAAGAGAAAATGGAAGACCACAGCAACTTCCTCAAAATCACAGAGGTAAAAATCGGCAGCACCAGAGCCGGAGCTGGAATCCGACAGAAGCCTTCCTTATCTCAGGGCCACAGTTATTTTTGGTCCGGCTCACCAATGAAAAAGGACCTTGAGGTCATGGTCTCTCCTGTTCTCTGAGCCCAGTCGTTCGAAATCCTCTAATCCTCGTTAAAGTGGAATTCATTGCTGACCTTGGCGCCACATGGATGCCGGTGTCCTTCCCCCAGATAGGCTGATGCAATCAACTTGGGGTGCGGCCTGGGCATCAGAGGGGACATCAAAGGACTCCAGATGACCCTCACAGGCGTCAAGGCTGTGGCCCACTGGGATAAGGACAGTGTGGCAGCGCACTGGCACTTTCCGTTCAAAGCAGTGCCAGGAAGGACTCAGAGAAGCGACTGCTTCCAGCGGGCTTGGGCCAGAGCAGATTTGCTCAGGAGCTGGACCTTGAGGTCACAGAAGAGGAGACTCCTATAGGAGCCCTGAGGTAGGAGAGCCTCTTGCACGCTAGATGGATGTGGTGGACAAACCTGGACTCTAAGCCAGCCATCCCAGGGCCACCCAGCTGTCTGACCAGCTTGCTTGTGAACAACATGTTTTTAGTATATCTATCGTTTCTAGGATCCAAACTCATAGGGATCAAAGCTCTGGTCCCTGCCTCATGGCCTGAACGCTGGGCAGCTGATTAAGCATGGCAGCGCCCTCATCTGGCTTCTGTCTGGCCTTTAAGAAAAAAGGACAGCTGAGCCCATGGGGCAAGAGAGAAAAATATCACAGGACAGTGACAGGTAGAAGCTACAGAGACAAGCATTCATGTGGCTTTTCCTTGGGATTTCCCGATTCTTATTGTCCTTAAACTTCATGTTATTAAATTATCTTGCCCACTAGATTATGTAGAGAGAAAGCAGAATTGTAAAAATATTATTTTATTTTATATGTGTGTGTATGTGTGTATGTGTGTGTGTGTGTGTGTGTGTGTGTGTGTGTGTGTGTGTTGCCTACATGTATGTCTGTGCACCAGGTGTGTAGCTGGTGCCCATCAAAGGCTAAAGGCCAAAAGGGGGCATTGGATGTCCTGGAACTGGAGTTGCAGAGAGTTGTGAGCCACAGTGTGGGTGCTGGGAATCTAACCCAGATCCTCTGGAAGAACAGTCGGTACTCTTAGCCACTGAGCCACCTCTACAGATCTAAGAGAGCAGAATTTTAATACACTGTTTTAGTCCCCAAATTAATAAAATTCAAGAGCCGGGCATGGTGGTGCATGCCTTTAATCCCAGCACTCAGGAGGTAGAGGCAGGCAGATCTCTGTGAGTCTGAGGCCAACCTGGTCTACAAAGCAAGTTCCAGGACAGCCAGAACTCTGTTACATAGAGAAACCCTATCTCAAAAAAACCTAAAATAAAATAAAATTCAAGCCTAAACACTAATTTCTCCTTGACCATGACAGTATGTTACTATGGTTCTTGTTCTGTTTTGAGACAGGGTCTGACTATATACCCAAGAATGCATTGGAATTTGCTATATAGCATAAACTGGACACAAACCCTCAATCCTCCTGCCTCAATTCCCTAAATGCTAGGATTACAAGAATATACCACCATGCCTAGCAACATCTGTCTATAGGCATTTTGTTTTTTGAGATAGTGTCTCATTTGTAGCCTAGTCTGGCCGTACACCCACAGTGGACCTTCTGAGTGCTGGGATTTCCAGGGCTGGACGTTCAAGGCAAGTGAAGAAGACACTGTCATTATCTGGAACTGACAGCTTCACACCTACAACCTACCAGTGCTAAGCCAGGTTAGATCAAAAGAGTGAATGATGTGCTCACAATAAAACTAATAGTCCTAGTAGTTCTGGTTTCTTCCAACCTACAGCAGGTTAGAGTCAGAAAATTCAAATGGTGGGAAACACTGCTCAGGACAGCTGACTTCCTGAAAGCAGGGAACGAAGCAAGCAAGGCCCCTGTCTTAGTCTATTGCTGTGAAGAGACGCCATGACCACGGCAAGCCTTACAAAGGAAAACACTTCATTGGGGCTGGCTTACAGTTCAGAGGTTCAGTCCACTGTCATCGTGGTGGGAAGCATGGCAGCATGCAGGTAGACATGGTGCTGGAGAAGGAGCTGAGAGTTCTACATCTGGATCTGCAGGCAGCAGGAAGAGACTGTGAGACACTGGGTCTAGCTTACACATCTGAAACCTCAAAGCCCGTCCCCAGTGACACACTTCCTCCCACAAGGCCACACCTCCTAATAGTGCCACTCCTTATGAGTCTGTGGGGCCATTTTCTTTCAAACCACCACAGCCACCGACTCAGAAGACACACTGGTCTGGGAGTCCACTGTAGGGATAGCTGTTAGTCCAGTGGTTCTCAACCTGTGGGTCATGACCCCTTTCACAGGAGTGGCCGAAGACCATCAGAAAACACACATATTTACATTATGATTCACAATAGTAGCAAAATTACAGTTATGAAGAACCATATCAATGGGTCACAGCTTTCGGAGGGCTGAGAACCACGGCGGTAGTCCCTGGCAGGCATCTTTACTCTAATAGAAAACAACATTTGTAACGGTGGTGAAACAGGCAAGCATGATCTGCTTTGCTGAACACACTGAGTTCATGCTTGAGCCCGTAGATAACTCAAAGCAAGATGAACCCTGGTGCCTGCGACAGTGATGGGTGACAGTGATGTGTGGGACCACACCTTGGCCAAGACAGGTTACTTGTGCATGCCGTTACCCCTTACCCCAGTTTTCCTCCATTTAAGCCTAAAGCGCCTGGAATTATCTCATGGAGTCCCTGGATTCCTTTATTTGTTCCTCTTCCCACCTATGCGTTAGACCTCCTTTCTCCACTTTTTACTCTCCCTTGTCAGAACCGGGACTTTTGTCCTAAAACTCTTGGTATTGTACCAGCTACTGCAATTGCTGGGCACTTTCTGTGATGCTCCAGGCTGGGTACTTTCTGTGATGCTCCGGGCTGGGCACTTTCTGTGATGCTCCGGGCTGGGCACTTCCTGTGATGCTCCGGGCTGGGCACTTTCTGTGATGCTCCAGGCTGGGTACTTTCTGTGATGCTCCAGGCTGGGTACTTTCTGTGATGCTCCAGGCTGGGCACTTTCTGTGATGCTCCAGGCTGGGTACTTTCTGTGATGCTCCAGGTTGGGTACTTTCTGTGATGCTCCGGCCTGGGTACTTTCTGTGATGCTCTGGGCTGGGTACTTTCTGTGATGCTCTGGGTTGGGTACTTTACGTGATGTTTTGGGTATGCAGTCTTCCTTACAACAGCCCAGCACACAGACACTGAGATGCACTCAGGAGCTGCTTTTGCTGGGAAGCATCAACCCCTCACTTGGGCCCACAAGGGAACTAAAGCAGGGAAAAGGCAAGGCCGCCATCTTTACCTTTATTTAATTAAGCCTTTCTCCTTTACCATGGATGGTGTGTGTGTGTGTGTGGGTGTGTGTGTGTGTCTGTGTGTGTGTGTCTGTGTGTGTGTGTCTGTGTGTGTGTGTCTGTGTGCCTGTGTGCCTATGTGATGAGTGTTTGTGTATGTGAATTTGGGTCAAAGGTCTTGGAACTATTTCTCACTGAGACATCTTTCTGGCCCATAGCTTTTTTTTTTTAGCATCCTTGTTGGAGATGTCTTTAGGAAGACAAACACTGTCTCTGGAGTCAATTCTGTTTTGTTTTATTTTTTCTGTTTTGTTTTGTTTTATTTTTTCAAGACAGGGTTCCTTAAGGAAACCTGGCCAGCCCGAAACCTCACCCGGAAACCAAGCCGGCCCCCAAACCAAAAAAAACCGCCCGGCCCCGCCCCCTGAGTGCTGGGATTAAAGGTGCGTTCCACCACTGCCCGGCTGACAAGTCCGATCTTATCCACTGTGTAGAAGTTACTGGCTCCCAGCCAAGCTCTGGAGTAAAGGACTCCTATACTTTCCTGTGTCTTCTTATTTCCCCCTGTATTTCTTTCCTTCCTCAACTAAAGAACGGTATTTAAAATCTTTCGTTTAAAAAGGCAAAGAAGGGGGCTGGAGAGAAAGCTCAGCCCCACAGAGCAGGCATGAGCATGCCCACACGGCACACACACAGTAAAAAATGAAGCTAAAAAGGCAAAGAAACGGTAAAGACGCAGGATGATTCTTCCCCAGTATGGTCCCACAGTGTGCTGCCATAGGTGAGTTCCCCAGAACAAGGCTCTCAGTGTCTAGAGCAGGGGAAGAAAGGAGAGCTGGGGTCTGGCCTGACAGCAGTGTGGGCACACTGGCTTCTCAGGAGTCTCGGGAACAATGCAGCATTGTCTTCCCTCCAGCCCGAGGCCACCAGCCTGGCCTGGTGTTTTGTTTTGTTTTGTTTTCCAGTATCAAGCTGTGAGCTGGACAGGGGTGGGTACAGCTGACCAGGAGAAAGAAGCAACTCCCAACAACTGAGGTCCACTCTCAGGAGAGGAATGTCCCCGAGCCTTTATCTGCCTGTCCCCACAGCAGGGCCAGGGAGATTGGCCCTGGATGGAGATTCAGGCAGATCACCAAACAGCTTGCATTCAAAGACTCTGGATAAGTTATAATGAACTTTTGTTATGGTTTGGGTCCAAAATGTCCCCCACAGGTGCCCGCGCTGGTCCCTAGCTGGTGGCTCCGGTTTGGGAAGTTCTGACACCTGTAGGAAGTGGGGCCTCTCTGGACGAAGTACATCAGTAGACAGAGTGGACCTTGAGGCTTATAGCTTAACCTCAATTCCTGTCCTTTGTCTCACCCCTGCTTCCTGTACCCCTGAGATGTGAGAAGGAGAGGAACCCTGCTGTATGTTCCTGCTACCATGTTGGACCATGTCTCCTTAACCATGCATGAATCCAAGTCAATCCTGCTGCTCTAAGTCAGTGTTTTCCAGGTATTCGGTCACGATAACTAATAATGTTTGTGTCTCTGTTCACTCCACCGTTTCCTGAGCCCCTGGAAGAAGCCATGACTGATCATCATACCCCACCTCCAAGCAGCATCTGCTACAGCAAGTCCTCTATCAGTTGCAATAGGATGGAATACAATTGAGGAAAATCACTAAAGCTTCTAAAGCAACAAACCGTAGTTATCAAAAAGAAATTGCCAGCTGCATGAGGTATCACGAGGTAAATGGCCATACTGGACCACAGAGGTGTAAGTTAGGAGTCAGTGAAGCAGGCTACAGCCTTCCCACCACTGCAGGGATGGGGCAGTTAGCATGAAAATTGCCCCCCTAGGT